CAAAATCGGAAAGAACATCAACCAACGGCTTTGCACCCTCTTTTTGGAAAAGTTAAGCATTTTTGGTTGTGTGTAGGTTAGCTGTATGTTATGTGGAAGTATGCCTTTGTTATTGTCTTTATTTGGAGCTTAAGTACAGTTAAGGAAATGTGTAGGAGTGGGACTGCTAGGCCATCAGTCTTTTCAATTTTAGCTATCCTAATGAAGGTGTAGTGGTATATCATTGTAGCTTTAATTTGCAAATCTTTGGGTTACTAAATATGTTAAGCATCTTTTTGTTGCTTATTGGACATTTTTATACCTCAATCTTTGGTGAAGTGTTTACTTGAAACCTTTTGCCCATTGTTTTATTTTGTTGTTTTCTTATTATTTAGTTATAAAAATTCTTTATATGTTCTGGATACAAGTCTTTTGTCAGATATATTGCTTTTCAAATTTCTTCTCCCCTATCTGTGCCTTGACTTTTTATTTTCCCAATGGTGTCTTTCAAAGAATAAAAGTTTTAAATTTTGATAAAGTTAACCTTATGAATAATTTTTTATGGTTCATGTTTTTTATGTCCTAAGAAATCTTCGACTATCTCAAGATCGCAATTTTTTTTTGTTTTCTTTTAGAAATTTACTTATAGTTTTAGCTTTTAAGTTTATCATCCATTTTTTATTACTTTCCTCAGGGGCTTCCATCAATGCTCCTGAGATCTATAACTATTCCCCCATCAACCTCAAACATGAGCCACACTTGCCACCTCCCTGGCCTTCACTCTTCATCCAACAGATCATCAGGACCTCTCCATTTTACTCCCTAAAAAGTGGTCTTACTCTACCACCACCAATTTACCTTGCCCTAGGTCTCAAATCCTTACCTCAATTATTGCCTACCTTTGCCCACATCTACACTGTACTCCACATTCTGTGGTCTTCCAGCGCCCCATTCTGGCCATGCCAAGCTCTCTCACCCCTTGGACCTATTTCCTTCCAAGTCAGCCTTCAGATTCCAGTCTAAACATCCTTGACTAGATCAAACTCTACAGCCCCACCCTCACCTTCCATACAGGTTCTCTTAGCACCATGCACCTCTCAGAAAAGATTTTACTAATTGTAAATTTTAATTTTGTGTGATTCTCCGTTTAACGTTTTCCTTCTTCACAGATCTAACTTCATGAGGCCAGGGATCTATTTTATCCCCACACTGTACTCGCAGTAACTCGAACAAGGCCTAGTACAGGGAGGAAGCCTCAATACATATGCGATGAATGAATAAATGACTTAGGAAAATGGAATAAAAAAGGGTTAGGCTAATGGTTGTTTAGGTCCCTTCAGTGGTAATATCAGACACGAAACAGTAACAGCCTTTGCTGTTTTCCTAGCAGCAGATGAAAACCTGCCAGATCGGAGAAGAAAGGCAGGCCTTTGGATTCAAGGTAGGAAGAACAGGTGTGTGATCTCGAGCGGCGGCCAGAAATCCGCTCAAACCTGCATTGCTTTGAGCCCTCACTCTCCAGAAAAAGGGGCCGGTCCCCAGCAGCTCGGTTCCTGGAGTTTTGGCAGGGAAAAGTCCACCTGCAGTAATCAGCCACACCTGCAGCGGCCCAGCTCAGCTGCCCTGGAGACCGCGTGGGTGGGCACGCGGGCTGGGGGCGGGGCCAAGCCTGGAGGGGGCCTGCGTCCCGCCCCCCTGCTGCGTGCGCGCCCCCGCCGCAGCCTTGCGCGTGCGTCGCCGGCCGGGGGCGGATGTTGTGGGCGGTGGCGGCGGGCGCACGCGCTGTCGCCTTCTCAAGCCGGTTCGCGCTCCCGCGCAGAAGCTGAATCGACGGTGGCGGCTGCAGCGGCGGCTGCGGTGGCTGAGGTGGCGCGGGGGGAGGGCCGGGAGGGAGGGTGGCTGGGGGGGATGGACCGGGCGCGGCGGCCGCAGCGGCAGGAGCCGGCGCCTGAACTCGAACGACGGCGCTGGCGGAGACGCCGGCTGCTCCTCCCCTCCCCGCCGGTGAGTGCGTGCCCCTACCGCGCACTCTGGTTGCGGCCGTGGTTCCCCACAGCCCCTCCACGTCCCTCGGCCTGGGGTGAGGAGAGTTGTGCGGGGAGCGTGGCCTGGCGGTACTGCCGACGCTGGCTCGGCCTCCCCCTCGCGGCCTGGCGCGGCTCGGACCCTCGGTCGTCCTCGTCCGGGGCTTAAGCCCTGGGCCTAGGACTTGACCCGCCCCCACGCCCGCCCCAGCACCCCTCCGGGCCTTTTTCTTTCCTGGCTGGTTCCGCTGTCATTTTGACCCTGGGGTTTCTCTCTCCACCCCTCTTCTCTCGCCCCCCCTTCCCAGCATCCCATCCCCGGGTCCTTGGGGAGGGAGGGGTGTGTGAGGAGTTGGGCCGAGGCCCGAGGCGCTGTATGGGAGGTAGCTCTGGTTTGGGGGTCTGAGGTCCTATGAGCTCTCGCTTGGCCTTGTTGTCCCCAGAAGTTGGCCACCAGGGCTCAGCCGGTGCCACCTGAAACCAGTTTTACACCTTTTGTTTTGATTTTGAACTTGTTTAAGGGAAGAAGGGAACCTGCTGTACTGGGATCGGCAGAAATAGGTGGTGCAAGGTGGGAGGCTAGGCTGGCTGGGTTCTCAGTGCCTTTTATTAGCCCCTTTTAGGAAGGTAAAATGGGCGCACCTTCCCTAAAGGGCCAGAAATCCGTTTACAGCTTGCAAATACCCCTTTTCAGTCTAAGCTCAGGTATGTGTAGTCTTGTCTAGCGGTTGGTTTGGTTCATTCCTTAACATCGCTGGTGAGGACCACCCCCTCCCCACCCCCCCGCCCCTCCGCGTATCTGCAGCAGGGTTTCTCAAAGCAGCCCGCTTGAGCTGTCGGTTAATTTCCACCCCCCCCCCCCTTTTTGGGTGACACCTTATACATTAGTCTTGGTAGATTCTTATCCAATGATTTTGTAGGCTGCCTTTTCAACCTGACTTGTCATAGAGGAAGATGAACACATAGACACTAATCCAAAATGGATGCTGTAAGTCTGACATACTCATCAGAGGTACCTGTACCATAAGCATCTCTATGAAAGGTCTGATTTCCTCAATTAGCTAATTATTTTAATTTTTTTAAAAAGGCATCCAGGGCTTAAAAAGCAGCTAACTGCTTTAAAATAAAACAAAACTTTGATTTGTTTATGTTTTCTGATCAGTATCTTATATTTTGGAAGTGATTGTTTAATTAAATCCTTGTCTTGGAAGTACCCATGTATAGAAATTGTTGCAGAGCATGGACGAAAAAACCTTATGAGAATGTTGTTACAGACAAGATTCCTCCAGGAGGTAGATACAGTTTTTTTCTCAACTGTGTATCAGGAGAGTGAGAGTCCAAAGGGTGAAAAAGGTGAAGGGATTAAGAAGTATAAATTGACAGTTACAAAACAGTAGTGAGGATGTAAAGTTCAGCATAGGGAATAAAGTCAGTGATACCGTAATAACTATAGTGCCAGGTGGGTAATTGAATTCTTGGGGAATCACTCTGTAAATTATATAATTGTCTAACCACTATGTTGTATATCTGAAACTAATACAAAGTAATATTGAATGTCAACTGTAATTGAAAAAATTTTTAAAAAGGTGACACTCCTATTTTGAGTAGGTGGTACTTTTACTAGTATCATATAACAAATTATGCTTATAGGTGTGACTTTTAACTCAACAATATCTTGTCCTCTCCCAACAAAGTTGGTTTGTATTATCATACAACCACTTTCTTGCTAGTATAGAAAGATTAAAAAGCTGCTTCTTATTTGTGGGTGGTAACCTTTTACTTTGCAAAGTTTTCAGCTGCTTACAGAGTATATTGCTGATCAGCAGCATAGGAAAATTTTAGGTATTAAAAATTCATTAGCATGTGATCTAGATCTGTTAAAATTATGAGGATTTATTAAGATTCTGCATGATATGGGTGCTGTGTACAATGTGTAGGAAATGAGATTTCTCAGAGTATTTGCATCTTAAGGTAAATAGCACAGTCAGCTGACAGACTGTTGACACCTTGAGTAGTTGAGAGGCTCTCTTATGAGTGCATGCACATACACACAAACTGTACAATTTGATGAAGAAACCCAATGATTTGGATTAGTTGGTAACCACCATTACTGTAAGTTGTTTTCTACTAGAATATTTCCCTTTTTCTGCAAGAGGTTTTTTTTTTTCCTTTTTAAAGATTTTATTTATTCTTAGAGAGAGGAGAAGGGAGGGTGAAAGAGAGGGAGAAAAACATCTCTCATGATGGTTGCCTCTCTTATGCGCCCTGACTGAGATGGAAACCACAACCCAGGCATGTGCCCTGACCGGGAATAGAACTGGCAACTTTCTGCTTTGCAAGATTACACCCAACCAACTGAGCTACACTGGTCAGGGCCTGCAAGAGTTTTTTAATGCCTGTCTCATGTACAAAACCTGTCATGGCTGAGGACTAAAGTTTAAACTCCTCTGTGTGGCTTTTATGAATCACTGATTAATTTAATTCATCAAATATTTATTGAGTCCTTATTTTGTTCCAAGATTTCTTTTTTAAGTACTGGGCTACAGTGGGGGAACAAAGCAGACAAAGTTCCCTGCCTTCATTGAGCTTTAGTTTTTGTGTGTGAGAAACAGGACAACAAGTAAGCAAATGGACAAGATAATACCAGGTAATGTTAAAAATCAGCAATTAACAAACTTTTTCTGTAAAGGACCAGAAAGTAAATATGGGCTGTACAGTCTGTTTCAGCTATTCAGCCTTGTTGTTTAGTGCAGAAACAGCCACAGGCAGTATGAACCTGCTTGACTATGTTCTACTTAAATTTTGGACACTGAAATTTGAATTTCATATCATTTTTTCACATCACAAAATATTTTTTTTAATTTTTTCAACCATTTAAAAATGTAAAAACTGTTCTTCATAAAGTTGTACAAAACATGGGGCAAGCTGGATTTGGCCTGCAGTCTGTAGTCTGACTCCTTGTAGGAAAAGTTTACTGACTCCTGATGTGAAGTATGAAGAAAATAAAACAAGCTAATGAGACAATTGAGTGACTGGTTGGGATGATGGAGAGGCCTCACTAAGGAGAAGATATTTGAGTTGTGGCCTAAAAGATGCAAAAACCTGGCAGATGAAGCAGCAAGTGCAAAGATCTGCAGGTGGAAGTGAGCTTCTCCTACGTTCCCCAGCATTGAACGCCCTCATGTACCATGTCATTCTTGCCTTTCTGTCTTTTTTTCTTTCGTTGTGTTCTTAACTAGGTTGTCCTCCTTCTGTCTACTCATTGTAGAATCTAAGACTTGGAAGAGATTTTAACTTACCCAATTGCTCTCCTAAAATGTTCTTGGTGATTTTTCAGCCTCTATTTGAACACTTTTGATGACAGAAAATTTATTACTTTGAGGTAGCTTATGCTATTTTTAGGTACCTCTAATTGTTACAGTGTTCTTCTTCATGTTGTATTAGGAATCAACCTCTCTACCTCCTTCCCATGATGCTACCTTACATGGAGTAAGTCTGCAGTGGGGTTGCACCTCATTCCTAGGATTCAGTTCTAAAGTCAGTGCATGAAACAAAAATCACATAAGATGGAAGCTGTACCTGTAAATCTCTTACATTGCTTTAAAAGTATAGTGTGCATGTTTTTGTATATATAATTGTATATCATTCTTATGCACTCCACAGACTGGGAGCCATTGAGCTTGACCGAAGGAAGGAGCAAGAGGAAATAAATTATTAAGTAGATCTGTAGGCCTTCAAACAATTCTGCTTTTTAAAACATCTGTCAAATTTCTATCAGAGTGGTGGAGGGTGGAGAATTTTAATGTGTTCCTGTTTCCTTACAGGGTTTATTTTGTATTTTTACATTTAGCCTCTATTAAATTAATGTTTATAGATATGAATATTAAATAATATGTAAGGAAGCACTTGGCACATAGTAAGTGGTTAATAAATGCAGGATTTGAATCTAAATTTGTGCTTCATTGGGCTCACATGCACATTGTCCTTTGGAAAGTTGTAGAGAAGAACTAGGCCACCTGCTTTCTGTCTTTCCAAATTGACATTTCCTGTTGTGGGTCTACTGAACAGTTGTCACTCTCTGTGTCCTTGAGTGGTCACGTTTTACCAGAGGTCAGCTAGTAAGTTAAATGGGTATATGATGTAACTCTTAGTTCTGCTACATGACCCTTCAAGTATTTGAAAATTGCTATTATGTGTCCCATTTAAGTCTTCACTTTTCTTAGGGCTAAATATTTTCATTTCTTTTAGTATTTTCTTACTTCTTTGCCCTTCTGGCTGTTGTAACTGTGCCAGTTTATTGTTCCTTTTACTTTAATACCCTGAAGTATATTTAAGGTACATGTTCAGGTTTTATCTTCTTGATGAAGCCTTCCCTCATGATTCTACACCTCTGTACAGTGAAACTGTGGTTCTTGAACTCAATCTGTTCTGTAAGGCTGTTCTACAAGCCATTCGTTTGAAAATTGAATATTTTCTGTTAGAAATACTGTATCAGCATGAAAGGGTTGTCAGGTCAAGAACTGATGTTTTGTTTAATAACAGACATTTTTTCTGTGAACAGCTTGATCAAAAACCATATTGAAATGGGAATTGTTCGAGAACGGAGGTTTGACTGTATTTCTGATATACTTTTATCTGTATGTCTCAGTTTAATATTTTCTTACTTTATACTTTTTCATGAGCCTCTGTCTTCCCTCACAGTGAGACAACAAACTTCTTGAGGGCCAAGACCATGTTTTAGGCATCTTTTATGTCCAAATGCCCTGAGTAAAATTTCAGGCATGCAATAGATCATAAATATTTTATAATTAAAAAACTTTCAAAATAATTTTAGAACTGTGTTAGATTTGCTGAATTACTATGAAAATTGTACAGAAGATTCCTATCTCTCTCACACTCAGTTGCCCTTATTATTAACTTCTTGCATTAATGTGGTACATTTGTCATAATGCACCAGTATTGATACATTATTACTAAGTTTGTACTTGCTTCAGAGTTCCAAAATTTTTTTTCCCTGAATGTCCCTTTTTTGTGTTCCAGAATCCCATTCAGGGTGCCACATTACATTTAATAATTATGTCTCCTTAACTCTTCTTGATTGTGACAATTTCTCAGCCTTCCCTTTTTTTTAATGACATTGGCAATTTTGAAAACTCATTGGGCATTTTTGTATAAAGTCCTTCAATTTGGATTTATCTGATATTTTTCTAAGGGTTAGATTGATGTAATGTGATTTTTGAAAGGAAGACCACAGAGGTAAAGTGTCATTCTTAATCACATATCTAGTACATATTATTGATATGACTTATCAGTGTTAATGTTAACCTTGGTCACCTAGCTTGAAGTAGTATTTGTTTTCCTCACTGTAAAGTTACCCTTTTGTTCTTTCTGTCTCTAGAAGAAAGTCACTATGCAGAGCCCACACTTAATGAGCAATGAGTTATGATCCACCTCCTTAAGAGTGGGTATTTACATAAATTTGTTTTCTCAAATTGTTCCAGCTGTGGTCATTGGGAGCTTTTTTAGTTGGCTCCTGCATCCCTTCCCTTTAACATACACCAGTGATTGTGTGTGTGTGAGCACTTTTCTTTCTCACAACATAAAATACTTCTGGCTTATCTTTTATGATTGGTAATTTTTCCAAGGAGCCCTAGTTCCTCTTATTGGAAAATGGTATTAGAAACCAAGATATGGGTGCTAAGTGTGCTAGCTGCTGCTAGAGTATTGTTGCTTCTAGGCACTCTTGAATAAGATAGCAAGGAGATATGTGTATATATTAACCAATGTGTATACATATATCTATACATAGTTCTGTATGTAACTATTTCTCTATATTAAGCTAAACATGAATTCATACTAATATCTCCAACTCTCATTCCTTAACACATTGATCATTCTGACTTCTTTCACTTTACTAATAATAAATTTGGCCATCCATTTACTTAATTCTTCATTTTTAGTATACACATACAGTGGTTTTAGAATGAAATAAGCTGTGTATGTCAACTAGAGTACAGTGCTTATGGATCCTTTGTTTTCTCTTTAGTCTTACAGATTTCAACTCATTTCCAGTATTACCTAGGTCTGCACCATATTCTTCCACCTCCTTTGTGAGGTTGTTTCATATTTGTAATAAATTTTAGATTGTTTTGTCACATTCTGTATTCCATGCAGAGATCCCTTTACTACTTACATGATTATTTAAAAATTTGCATACATTGTTTATTCTTTGTGCTATAATTTATATGGGTTTTGACAAATCTTTAATATATTCACCATAACAGTATCATACAGAATACTTTCACTTCTCTAAAATTTTGTGCCTCACCTATTTAACTCCCCCCCCCCACACCAGCCCTGAAACCACTGATCTGTTTACCATCTCTGCAGTTTCACCTTTTCCAGAATATTAAATTTTAAAAAGTATTTTTAAAAAATATTTTATCTTTTTAGATTTTATTTCTTTATTTTTAGAGAGAGGGAAAAGGAAGGGGAGCGAAAGGGAGAGGGAAGGGGAGCGAAAGGAAAAGAAATATCAATACATGAGAGAGGAACATCCATTGGTTGTCTTTTGCATGCCCCCAACTGGGAACCTGGTCCTCAACTCAGGCATGTGCCCTGACTGGGAATTGAAACTGCAACTTTTCAGTTCATAGGCCAATGCTCATTCCATTGAGACACACCAGCCAGGGCTTAAAAAGTGTTTTTGAATGATTTTTAGGAACAGCATTTTGTTAAGTAGTGGGACATAGAGGCACTAGGTAACTAACACTTAGAAACATTTTTGTATTGAGGTAAAATTCACATAACAATTCATAATTTTAACCATTTAAGATGTACATTTTCAGGCTTGTAGTTCCCTCACATTATTGTGCAACCACCACCATTATCTAATTGCAGAACATTTTCATCACTCAAAAAGAAACCTTGTATTCATGAAGCAGTTCTTTTTAAACCCTGCCAATCAGTAGTCTGATTTTTGTTCCTATGGATTTGCCTATTTGGGACATTTCATTTAAATGGGATCACATATTATATGGCCTTTTGTTTCTGGCTGCTTTTACATAATGTTCTATAGGCACATCCATATTGCAGCATGTTTCAGTACTTAATTCCTTTATTATTGCTGAATAATCATTGTATGGATATACCACATTTTGTTTATCCATTCATCAGTTGGTGAGCATTCAAGTTGTTTTCACTTTTTGATTATTGTGAATTATGCCGCTATGAACATTCATATGTGTATCAGTTTTTGTTGAACATATGTTTTAAATTTTCTTGGGTTAATAACTAATGTGGTGTTGTTTTGATAAATTTTATTTTATGTTGAAAAGAAAGTTACCCAATGGCTTATTTGGGGTAAAGTGCCAAAAGAATGCTACTTTGTCTTGGCATCAGTGAATACTGAAATCACACAATTTTCCTGTTGTATTTATGGAGTAAAGAATTTTGGTCCAGATGGGGTAACAGTAGGTAGCTTTCTCCTAGAATTCTGTTAGAGGAATATCCTGAATTATGTTGTGTACTGTTCAGTTACCTCTCTGAGAGTAGCAAGCAGTCTTTCACTGTGAAGTTGGATTATAAGATGTGCTTGTGGTCATAAGGAATCTCTGAGTGTCTGAATTATGTTTAACATTATGTATTCAGAGGGATAGTAGGCAGGATTCCCATTCTGTAATCTATTTGGCATCAGTGATATTACAGAGGTTTTATTCTTACTAACCACATTCCCTCTGAGGTTTAGACTATAATAAAGTGGCATTAAATATTAGTGTTTCTTTTCCTATTTTGGCACCCAATCCTGAAGCTTTGTTTTGCAGTTATTGCTTTGACACCTTTGCTTTGATTAATTCATTTTTCTCAGGAAGACTTGGCAAAAGTTTTCTTCTTTTGCCAGTTTAGAGAAACCTGACAGAATTTGTTGAAACCTAGTGTTTTTCAGACTCCTTCAACGCAAGGAACAATTTTTGCTGTCTTTATCGCTTACTTCTAAATGTCTTTAGAGTTCCCTGGAGGCAGTGGAAAATAGATAAATTATATATATGAACCACTATCATACTTTATCCCAAGTATTTAAAGGTTTGTGTAATAAACACTGGGCTGGAACCAAGATTTTAATTTTATTTTTCTAAAAGACTCA